CATCATTGAAGTGAAAATCTGGAAGATTTGACCTGGGTGTAAAAGTCTAGAACAGATGATACATCCCCAAGTTGTCAGAGGTACACACACGGCACTCTCCCTTATTAACGGCAAAGACCCCCTCTGCTGTCAAAACACCAAGCAACGTTTGCTGTCTCTCAATGAGGAAAGCAGGTTTGCATACTAAGAAAGTGAACGTGCTTGAGAATTTTCACATAAAGAATTAAATTTTGGCTGAATATTTGGTACTGAAGGACACAAATCATCTTCAACATTTTTCAGAGTTGATATTTTGATTTTATAATCATGAATGCTAAGGAAGTCCCTGGGAGGACCAGCTTCCAAACTGCATCCTCTGCTAACCACTAACACTGATTCTTTGCCATAGCCTGGGTACAACATGTCACAAAACCATCTACATCTCTCCTAACCCAGTACAGCAGGTAAGATCATTGTCCCCACTGCATAGGTAGCAAAGCTAAGACATGAAGAGGCACTCGCCTAAATCCAGGCTTGGAATTGGGAACCATACTTTCAGATTTTAGTGGTTGCCTTAGTTAGGGTTTCTATTGCTGTGAAGAGACACTATGACCACAGCAACTCTTATAAAGGAAAACACTTAATTGGGGCTGGCTTACAATTTCAGAGGTTTAGTCCATTATCATTATGGCAAGAAGCACAGCCACATGCCAGCAGACAGGGTGCTGGAGAAGGAGTTGAGAGTTCTACATCTTGATCCACAATCAGCAGAAGGAGGCTGCATACCACACTGAGGGTAGCTTGAGCATATAAGACCTCAAAGCCCCCCCCCCCCAGTGACACACTTCTCCCAACAGGGCCACACCTACTCCAAAAAGGCCACACCTCCTAATAGTGCCACTCCCCATGGCCTAAGCATTCAAACACATGAGTCTATGGGGGTCATACCTATCAAGCCACCATAGAGACCCTGCAAACAAGAAAGTGAAGTGTATGTATACATTTCTCTCTGCTCTTGATTGTGGACATGGTGTGACCAGCTGTCTCGAGCTCCTGCCCTGTAGTGATGGACTGTAACCTAGTGTTGTGATCTAAAACAAATCTTTTCTCCCGAGTGGCTTTTTGTCAGGGTATTTTATCACAGAAACAGAAATTAAACCAGAACAAAAGTTGATGCTGAGGAAATGATATCGTTGCTGTGGTAGACCTGACCATGTGGCTTTTATACTCCAGACTATATTCTAAGGAGGATGAGAGAGAATTTGACACACTGGGCTAGAAAAGCCACTGGATGCTGGAAATGGAGGGGTGGGGCATTTCAATGGGAACTTGGAAGATAAAAATTCTATAAGGAATGTAGATAATTAAGAATCAACACACGGGGCTTTAGAGAATATCAAAGACTTTATTAGGAAAGGAAACGGGTCATTCTGGTGTTTTGGGCTGAGAATCTCTGTGTGCTGATTGGGCTGGGACTGAAGATGCAGCTGTGACTGTCAGAGAAATCCACACCACTGAAATGAAGCTTCAGTGAGGCAAAATAGAAGCATTTCCTCAAGTCAGCACACAGATCCTGATACAGCTGTGGTCCAAGAGAGGCAGGCTACATTTTAAACGGGCAGCAGAGCTTGTGGATGTAAGTGCTATCCACATGGTACTAGTTTGGAAAGCATTAAAAAACGCAAGATTTAGGGGGTCATGGAGAGGATCTTAGGGCTGACATTGTGTGACATATTCAGTCCCTGTGTGGAACTGTGAAGGTGGTCTCAGTTGCCATGGAGACCCCAGAGTAGTGAAGATGCTAAGACCACATAAACCTGCAGGTCTGGAGTGGAGCCTCCCTAAACCCAAGAGAGAAGCTGTATGTGTTGCAGGTGGCAGAGCCGGAGGGGTGAGGCTTCTTAAGTCATTTGGAGCAAAAAATCCATTAGGAGCTTCAGATACTGTGCAAAGGAACCACAAAATTTGGTATGTGCCCTTCTGGAATTTGGGGTTATTTTGATCTGATTGTGTAACAGGACTTAGACCTTACTAGACCCCCAAGAACTTAGCACAACTGATGTCATGTTATAGGCATCATTCTAATCTTAGAAACAAGCATGCAGGCCCCCACACCTGCCAAAATGGGAACAAATTCCTAATCCATCAAAGACCTTGTCCATAGTCCCAGGTCTGGAAAAGTCCCCAAATGTTCTAACTTTGATTTTTGGCTTCTGTAGTTTTACTTCTTGCTAACTGTTCTTGCTAACCAAAGTGTGTCAAAGAGGATGTAGCTTTGGGGCTTAAAAGACAAAGAACGGTGAGGCTTAGGGTTGCACAATTTGGGAAAGCTACCCTGTAGCCCTCCAGCCAGCAAATAAAGACTTCCTATTGGCTTTAAGAGTCCATGTTCTCAGAGACAGCTGACCTGATCTTGTGAAAGCACATGAACTCTGGACCAACGATTAGGGGGCCTGCATGGAACCGATCTAGGACCTCTGCATGTGTGTGACAATTGTGTAGCTTGGTCTGTTTGTAAGGCTCCTAGTGAGATCAGGGGCTGTCTCTGGCACTTAGCTGGCTTTGAGGAACCTGTTCCCCATGCTGGATTGCTTCTCCCAGCCTTGATGCTTGGGGAGGAGCTTGGTCCTACCTCAACTTCATGTGCTGTGATATGTTCAAGCCCATGGGAGGCCTGCCCCTTTCTGAATAGAGACTGAGGATGGGTGGATGATGGGGAGGGAGAGTCAGAGGGAGGGAATGGGAGGAGAGGAAGGAAGGGAAACTGTGGTTAGTATGCAAAATAAATGAAAAAATGTTTAAATATAATTTTAAAAAATAAAGAGTCTGCGTTCTTTAAAAGGGAGCAACATTCTAGAGACCCCAGTGAACTTCCCAGAGACACTAAGGCCTCAGAACCTCTGGACCCATTGCACATGAACTGACAGTTCCTAGGGCGTGTGCACCCTGAGACATTCCAGGGCCCCAGAAACTTCTCCCACCTCTGCTCCAGATGCCTCTACCCTAAACAGTCACCTGGATCTGTCCTTTCTGGAGGTGCGTGTTTATGATACCTTCTGCATAGGGTGGACCCAGCCCTAGTGTCTGGGCTCTGCATGAGATGTCACCAGAGCCCCCTGGCTCAAGACGGTGTGGTGGCCACCTGGGTTGTCCTAACTCTGTGTCTCTCTGTGTTTCCCTCTGTGTGTTTCTGTCACTTCTGTTGGTTGGAGAAACAGATCTAAAATGGAAGACAAAATGAGCTATCCTGGGTCCAGAGTAGCTGCTGCTCCTGTGATAGTACACAGCTGTCTGTAAGTCCTGTCCCAGAGAATCCAGCGCCTTCTCCTGGCTTCGGGAGATGCTGAGGGCATTCACAAGATGCACAGGCATGCTTGCAGGCAAAACATAAAAGTAAAAATCTTTAGAAGTGGAAGATTATGGTTTAAAAGTGTTGTGTTGTATGACCAGTTGGCAAGAGGTGAAGTAGAATGATTGGCTTTATCAATTTGACTTAGGACCACCTAGAAAGAGAGTCTCAATTGGGCTTGTCTATATTAGGTTAACCTGGAGACATGTCCCGTAGTGGGGGAGATTGTCTTCATTAAGTATATGGGAAAACACATCCCACTGTGGGTGGTGCCATTCCCTGGGCACAGAGTCCTGAACTGTCTGAGAGGAAATCAAGGTCAGCAAGGGATGCTGTGTGCTTGTGTTTCTCTCTGCCCTTAACTGTGGACACCGTGTGACTAGCTGTATCAGACTCCTGAGGCTGTGGCTTCTCCTGGGTGATGAACTGTAGCCTGGAACTGTGAGCTGAACTAAGCCCTTCGTCTCCTAAGCTCTTTATGTGAGATTATGTTATCACAGCAGCAGACAGCAAACTGGAGCACCAGGTGAAGGCATTCTCAAACCCTCCTGGTCTTGTAACTTTTAGGTAAACATGAAACTGAAAATAAAGAGCTAAGGTGGGCTGGAGAGAGTCCTAAGCGTGTAAGAGAGGGTACTTGCTTCTCTTGTGGGGGACCTGGATTCCCTTCCCAGCAGCCACATCAGGCTGTAACATCACCTATAACTCCAGCTTCAGAGGATCCGGCACCACTTCCAGCCTCTGAGAGCACTGCACACTTGTGAGCACACACCATGTGCACAGAAATAGTAAAAATAAATCGTTTTTTAAAGAGCTAAGGTAAATCAGAGTGGACGCAGCGATGTGTACCTTCATAGCCCTCATGGTGGCTTGCTCTTGCGTCATTGTCAGATACTCTTTACAATAAAGACCCTTGATGACTTACACCAAAATTTTGATTTCTTTATTACAGAAAACCCCATTTATCCAAAATTACCTCAACGCCCACCTTACTATTAAACCTGAACCCTGCAAGCCTGGGTCTGGGTGGTTGTCTGGCCCCCTGGGTGTCTGATGTGGAATGGAGGATCAGGTTTAACTCTCTGAGTGAAGGAACCAGGGCTCTGCAGCCCACTCCGTCCTGCACAGTACTGCAGGAGACCTCCTAATCCCAGGCTCTGAGCTCCTCTGTCCTCTGTCTTCCTGGAGATTTGATCATGCAGCCAGCGGGAGCAGTCTGGTCCTCCACAGTCCTTTGGCTTGTCTTTCTTGGGTCTTCATAGTGACAGGCCTTTGGGATGACATTTTTTCTTCATCTGCTGTGGGTCTCTGGACAACTGCTGAATAACCAGATGTCATGATGCCGCACCAGACTGAAAGGCTGCTGAACTTCTGTGCTGGTACTAGGAGCAGCACAGGGCACAACAAGGCTCAGCTGGGGCCCCTCCTGCATGTGACTGCCCAAGAAGTAGCAAGTAGAATGCTGGAGTACAGGGATGCTAACAGAAGCTGCCAGCAAGGCCACAGGTTCCGCTTCTCAGAAACAATATGGACCGGGAGCAGGGATATCATTGAGTCCTGAGGCAAAGAAGATTCTATCTCCAGAGCAAAGACCCTACCTCCAGGCAAGATAAGAAGAGGTGGGCGGGGTCTTGAACTACACCCAGCACCAAACATATCAGGACAGACTGTCTAGAAGTCAAACAACACTTTAATAAAGGACATAATGTGGCTGCTAGCATTGCCTGGAGTCCTGTGACTTCCAACCCACAGAGCAACTAAACTGGAAGGTATGTGAACAGAAAGAGCGTTGACACCCATGGGACACTGGGTGGGGCAGAGCCCAGGGACCTCAGAATAGCAGCTTCAGAAGAAGGAGGCTGCCGAAGACAGAGGAGATGAAGGAAGCTTTGAGGCTTGTGCTGGTACTAGGGGTCGTGGTGACTATGGTTGGAGTCGTGGTGGTGGTGGTGGTGACTGGGATTATTGCCGCATTTGTGCAGTTAACTGTCTGGAAAGTGAATCCTCCAATTTCTTTCCCACCCAGGGCTTCACAAGTAGCATTGCTGATATCAGAACAGCCTTTCAACTCTTCCGTAACAAGATCATTGCCTGAAGATACAAATGAGACAGTCAAAACTCTTTAACTCTATACAACCCTACTGTCCAAGCCCCAGCCCATGCAGTGTTGTTTATCTGTAAGCAGTTGAGCAGCATGCAGCAGCCCCTCTTCTATCAGTCACCTTCAAAGAAGAAGTCCAGAGTTAAGAATACTAGACAGGGCTGGAGAGATGGCTCAGCAGTTAAGAGCATTGCCTGCTCTTCCAAAGGTCCTGAGTTCAATTCCCAGCAGCCACATGGTGGCTCACAACCATCTGTGATAAGGTCTGGTGTGCTCTTCTGGCCCTCAGGCATACACGCAGACAGAATATTGTATACATAATAAATATTTAAAAAAAATACCAGACAGTAACAGTACAAGAATTATGGAGGTCAGGGGGCAGACCCCTCCTTGCCCAACCTCAAAAGCAACTGAGACAGTGAGAGGTGGGTTGGGTTGCAAACCTAGGCTTAAAGAAAGAATAGGAGCTGGATCTTGGATGCCCCATATCTTGTGTTTCTGTGGAGGTGACAGATGAAAAAACCAAGAACAAACGGGGCATGGTAGTGCACACCTGCAAGCCCAGTGCTTGGGGGACTGTAACAGGAAGATCATGAGTTCAAGGCTAGCCTCAGCTATGTGGCAAGACTCAATCAGGAAAAACACAGAGGGGAGGGAATAGAAAAAGAAGGGAAGAGAAGAGGAAGATGAGGGGGGAGGGAAAAAAAGGCAAGCCTGGATAACAGGCTCAGGGGCAGTTCTTTCTTTCAACTCTTCTTTCATAAGGAAATGAATCAGTAGGCATCCTGGGCTCCAGCCCATTCTAGCATTTCTTTCACCAACCTAGGCCCTTTGCACCTGGATGACAGTTGTGCAGCTTGGTCTTTTGTGGGGCCCTAGCAGTGGGACCAGGACCTGGCCCTGATGCATGAGCAGGCTCTTTTGAACCTATTCCGTATGGTGGGATATCTTGTTCAACCTTGATGCAGCGGGGAGGAGCTTGGTCCTCAACTTGATTTGCCATGTTTTGTTGATTCCCATGGGAGGCCTTACCCCTTCTGAATGGAGACAGAAGAGGAATAGATGGGGGATGGGTAGAAGGGAGGTGAGATGAGGGAACTGGAGGAGAGGAGAGAGGGGAAACTGTGGTTGGTTTGTAAAATAAAAAAATGATTTAAAAAAAAAGGGTCTCCAGCGCTTTCAACGATATTGTTATAATAGCAGCTACTTCTAAGTGGTTGTGCCCCTATGGGTCTGTCAGCAGCAACTCAAGCATCCCTGGGAAACAGGGAGCTCCTAGAGGCCTGAAGGGACTCAAGAGTATGAAGGGACTTGGTTCTGTCAGAACACAATGTGTGAAAGAGACCTCCAAACCCCAGCAAATAAAGTTTGCTGTTGTTTCCTCCCAGATATCAGTGCTGAGAGTCGAGCTAACCTGAGTCAGGAAGTGCAGTGCTAGGCACATCTTGATAGGAATTTAAAAGTGATATTGAAGCCAGGTGGTGGTGCCAGCACTTGGGAGGCAGGGGCAGACGGATCTTTGTGAGTTCGAGGCCAGCCTGGTCTACAGGAGCTAGTTCTAGTTCCAGGACAGGCTCCAAAGCTACAGAGAAACGAGAAACCCTGTCTCAAAAAACCAAAAAAAAAAAAAAAAAAAGAAAAAAGAAAAAGAAACAAAATGATGTTGGACAAAACAAGTAAGGAAAGATCCATCGTGGCCTGCCTGGTTTTCAGCATCAGAGAGACGACAGCATCAGGAGACACAGGCATGAGATGAACAGAGATCTTCTGCTGCCTTTAGACAGAACTTTAAATTAAAAACCAGGGCAGTGTGGGCACCTCAGCCATTTCAACGAAAGTGACCTTTTGCTGTAGTTTAACTCAGAGTGACAATGTATGTTTTGCATGTTTGAGGCTCCAGGGGATGGAGAAGAAAGAGAAATAGAGAAACACAGAGACACAGAGAAAGTGAAAGGGAGAGAACAGACATTCTGGAATAAGAAAATCTATAGAGGCTTGGATCCACTGGGAACTCCATGGTTATAGGTAGGCTTTGAAGTTGACAACAAAACTTGACATTTGTATTTAGGTACAGGCCTTAAACCCTTTTAGTATGAGCTGTGTTTTAGCTGAGACAGGCTGGTTATTCATTTTTGGTTTGTACCACATTTTTCCTTCTTAAAAATCACCAGATTACATTTTCAAGAGTTCCATTAGCCAGGATGGACACTTTCAGACCTGACTCCTGAGACAGCCCTAACGTAGAGCAACTGCCCTCCTCCCCGCCTCCAACCCCCAACCCCCACCTTCTACCCCCTCCCCACCACAGAGGACCAGTTGATATTTACTCTGCCCTGAGAAAATAAGGACAGAGCTACAGGGCAGTAGTGGCCCCCAGGATGTTCCTTTAGCAAGATACAAATGTGCACTGCATGTTGTTGTTAGGAATACTCTGTTGTGAATACTCTGACCAAATGGTGGCCACTATTGGGTTACATTGGTAGGAAAAGAGAAATAACCAGATGACCCTAGCTGGCCGAAGCCAACACCGCTCAATATGTAGGAGAAACGTATATAGAGATATAAAAACAAATAAGTCACACCTAGCCTCTCTTACTGAGCAATGGCACCCTAGTACTAGAACAAGTACCGGAGGGTCATGCAGTCAGGTAAGTGAGTCTGGAATGTGACCACAGGAGGGCAGGAGAAAGGTAACCAGAAGCAGCTCTGGACTTAAGAGCAGAAGTGGCCACCAACAGAAGGCTTCCTGGCAGTCTCTAGCTGAAAGGCATTCTGAGCTGAACCCCAGACTGCTTCCACCCTCCCCAGTCCTTCTGCCCTTCTTAGCGCAGGACTTGATGCGTTTCAGCCCCAGCCCTTTTAAGGAATTGAAGCCCCAGACTTACCACTTCCACGCTGAACAATGATTTGGACACATTGCTCTCCTTCGAAACACTGTTGGGTTGTCTCGTTGCAGGTTCCTTGGTTAATTCTATAGCAAGAAGAGCACTGGGTGTTGGTGAGATTCCGTGGTCCAGGGTCTGGGTAAAGGAAAGTCATTACTTAGAATCTTGTCATCACACTGCCCTGGGGAGGAGGGGACAGGCAGGCAGAGAAGCTGCTGAGGAGTCTGCAAACAGGAACCTCCAATCTATTCCTAAAGACACATGCTTTGTCCAAACGTTTCCTATACACAACCCCTGAGGCCCACCCTTATGGGGCAGCCAGTCTGCAAGAACGGTGGTCCACAGTGCTCTGGGGCCAACATGAGCAAGAAAGGAAAGAATCCAAGCTGTAGCCAATGTCAATGCCAGCAGCTGTTTGAAGCATTAGCCATTGGCATTAAAATTTGTCCTGAGCAGATGAACAAGGTTCATTTTCATATTGTGATGGAGTGAAAAAAAAATCACATTGAAAACCAGCTCTGCTTCTGTCTGTGCTTATGATAATAAACTTCACCATCACTGCCCACATTCTTTTCGTCTTCTCAATCATATATATATATATATATATATATATGCTGATTGATATATATATGAGGGTGAGGTGCTAGAGAGATGGCTCAACAATTAGGAGCCCAGGTTCAATTCCCAGTCACCACATGGCAGATCTATAACTCCAGCTTCAGAGAATCTGATGTCCTCTTCTAACTTCTGTGGGCATTGCACATGCATGGTACACATACATGAAAACACACACACATAAAATAAATCATAAATAAATCTTTAATTCTTATACATATATATGGAACAATGACATTCATCTCATTAAGTCTTTTTATATGTAAAACTCTTACTAGTATTTTTATTGATTTTACTGAGCTATATGTTTTTCTCTACTCCCCTCCTTTTCTTTCCCCTCCCCAACTCTACTAGTATTAATATGCATAACTTTTTATTTGTTTTTGTGTTTTGAAACAGGGTCTCACTATGTAGTTCGAGCTAGTGTTGAACTAACAGAGATCCACCTGTCTCTTCCTCTACTTCACAGTGCTAGGATTACAGGCATGTGTCACCGTGTCTGGCTAAATAATTTTACTTTGAAGTAAATGAATTAAGATTTGTGAATTTGCGCCTTTGTTCGCGAGCTAACGAAGCAGCGCAGAGTTTCGATCTGGGCACCGAGTGAAACATCATTGTGGTGAGTGAGTGCTGCAGCAGCTGGGATCATACCTTAGCCCGCCCACACTTCCTGGCCATCCTACAGGGGCTATATTGCCCAAACCCCCTCTCTCTTCCTATCCCACTCAGCTTACATCCAGATCCCCACACCCCCTGTCTCCCTCCCTCCTTTGGGGCATAGCGCCTCCCTGCCCAGCCTGCTAGGGCGCTGGGACCGAATCTGAACCGGGAGGACATAGGGGTGGCCGGTAGCTCCTTTGTTCCCATAGCCTGCCGGCAGCGAGCGGGGTGGGCCCTTTGTTCGCGAGCTAACCAAGCAGCGCAGAGTTTCGATCTGGGCACCGAGTGAAACATCATTGTGGTGAGTGAGTGCTGTGGCAGCTGGGATCATACCTCAGCCCGCCCACACTTCCTGGCCATCCTACAGGGGCTATACTGCCCAAACCCCCTCTCTCTTCCTATCCCACTCAGCTTACATCCAGATCCCCACACCCCCTGTCTCCCTCCCTCCTTTGGGGCATAGCGCCTCCCTGCCCAGCCTGCTAGGGCGCTGGGACCGAATCTGAACCGGGAAGACAAAGGGGTAGCCCGTAGCTCCTTTGTTCCCATAGCCTGCCCGCAGCGAGCGGGGTGGGCCCTTTGTTCGCGAGCTAACGAAGCAGCGCAGAGTTTCGATCTGGGCACCGAGTGAAACATCATTGTGGTGAGTGAGTGCTGCAGCAGCTGGGATCATACCTCAGCCCGCCCACACTTCCTGGCCATCCTACAGGGGCTATACTGCCCAAACCCCCTCTCTCTTCCTATCCCACTCAGCTTACATCCAGATCCCCACACCCCCTGTCTCCCTCCCTCCTTTGGGGCATAGCGCCTCCCTGCCCAGCCTGCTAGGGCGCTGGGACCGAATCTGAACCGGGAGGACATAGGGGTGGCCGGTAGCTCCTTTGTTCCCATAGCCTGCCCGCAGTGAGCGGGGTGGGCCCTTTGTTCGCGAGCTAACCAAGCAGCGCAGAGTTTCGATCTGGGCACCGAGTGAAACATCATTGTGGTGAGTGAGTGCTGTGGCAGCTGGGATCATACCTCAGCCCGCCCACACTTCCTGGCCATCCTACAGGGGCTATACTGCCCAAACCCCTTCTCTCTTCCTATCCCACTCAGCTTACATCCAGATCCCCACACCCCCTGTCTCCCTCCCTCCTTTGGGGCATAGCGCCTCCCTGCCCAGCCTGCTAGGGCGCTGGGACCGAATCTGAACCGGGAGGACATAGGGGTGGCTGGTAGCTCCTTTGTTCCCATAGCCTGCCGGCAGCGAGCAGGGTGGGCCCTTTGTTCGTGAGCTAACCAAGCAGCGTGGAGTTTCGTTCTGGGCACCGAGTGAAACATCATTGTGGAGAAACATCTCTGGGGAGTGACATCACTGGGAAGGTACATCAGTGGGCAAGAAGACCTGATCCTATAAAAGAAGATCCAAAGGGGAGTATTGGGAGGAAGAAATGGGCAGACGCCAATGCAGGAATTCTCCCAACAATCTGAAAAACAACACGAAACCACCAGAAGCCAGTGACCCCACAACAGGAGGACATGAACACCTTAATCAAGAAGAAGTAGAAAAAACTGACTTCATGAAAGTGATTGACACCCTTAAACAGCATATAAAAAACGCCCTTATAGAAATGGATGAGAAGTATAATAGAAAGTTCGAGGAATTGAGTAAATCAGTGAATGATACCCTAGGAAACCAAGGAAAAACAATCAAGCAGATAAAGGAAACAGTTCATGACTTGAAAACTGAAATGGAGGCAAAGAAGAAAACACAAACAGAGGGCCGACTGGACATGGAAAATCTAGGTAAACGAATAGAGACTACAGAATCAAGTATAACCAGCAGAATACAAGAGATAGAAGAAAGAATCTCAGATTCTGAGGATAACATAGAGAAAATAAACACTCTGATCAAAGAAAACAGCAAGTCCAACAAACTCTCATCACAAAACATTCAGGAAATATGGGACACAATAAAAAGACCAAACCTAAGAATAATTGGAGTAGAAGAAGGAGAAGAAGTGCAGCTCAACGGTACAGAAAATATACTTAATAAAATTATAGAAGAAAACTTTCCCAACCTGAAGACAGATGTACCTATGAAGGTTCAAGAAGCATACAGAACACCAAATAGGCTGGATCAAAAGAAAACATCCCCTCGCCATATAATAATCAAAACACAAAATATACAGAATAAAGAAAGAATATTAAGAGCCGCAAAGGAAAAAGGCCAAGTTACTTATAAAGGTAAACCTATCAGACTTACACCTGACTTCTCTATGGAAACCATGAAAGCCAGAAGGTCCTGGATAGATGTTCTCCAAAAACTAAGAGACCACGGATGCAAGCCCAGACTACTATATCCAGCCAAACTTTCATTCACTATAAATGGAGAAAACAAAATTTTCCAGGATAAAAACAAATTTAAACAATACGTAGCCACAAATCCAGCCTTACAGAAAATAATAGAAGGAAAATCACTAACCAAGGAGTCCAACAATGACCACAATAACTCAGACATCTAGAGACTCTTCACCAGCGCAAATCAAAGAAGGAAAACACACAAACCCTACTACTTAAAAAGTGACCGGAGTTAACAACCACTGGTCATTAATATCACTTAATATCAATGGGCTCAACTCACCTATAAAAAGGCACAGGCTAAGAGATTGGATAAGAAAACAGGATCCAACATTCTGCTGTCTACAAGAAACACACCTCAACCACAAAGACAGGCACCTACTCAGAGTAAAGGGCTGGGAAAAGGCTTATCAAGCAAACGGACCTAAGAAACAAGCAGGTGTGGCCATACTAATTTCTAACAAAGTTGACTTCAAACTTAAATCAATCAGAAGAGATGGAGAGGGACATTTTATACTCATAACAGGAACAATTCATCAGGAAGAAGTCTCAATCCTGAATATCTATGCCCCTAATATAAAAGCACCCACGTACGTAAAAGAAACATTACTAAAACTCAAGGCAGCCATCAAACCGCACACACTAACAGTAGGAGACTTCAACACTCCTCTCTCACCAATGGATAGGTCAATCAGACAGAAACCTAACAGAGAAATTAGAGAATTAATGGAGGTAATGAATCAAATGGACTTAACAGACATCTATAGATTATTCCACCCAAAGAGGAAAGAATATACCTTTTTCTCTGCAGCTCATGGAACCTTCTCGAAAATTGACCACATACTTGGTAACAAAGCGAACTTACACAGTTACAAAAAAATATTAGTAACCACCTGTGTCTTATCAGATCACCATGGATTAAAGTTAGAATTCAACAACAATGCTACCCCCAGAAAGCCTACAAACTCATGGAAACTGAACAGTCATCTACTGAACCATACCTGGATTAAGGAAGAAATAAAGAAAGAAATTAAAGTCTTCCTTGAATTCAATGAAAATAAAGAAACAACATACTCGAACTTATGGGACACTATGAAAGCAGTCCTGAGAGGAAAGTTCATAGCACTAAGTGCCCACCTAAAGAAAACAGAGAAAGCACATATTGGAGACTTAACAGCCCACTTGAAAGCTCTAGAAAAAAAAGAAGCAGACTCACCTAGGAGGAGTAGAAGACTGGAAATAATCAAATTGAGGGCTGAAATCAACAAAATAGAAACACAGAAAACAATCCAAAGAATCAATGAAACAAAAAGCTGGTTCCTGGAGAAAATCAACAAGATAGATAAACCCCTATCCAAACTAATCAAACGAAAGAGAGAGAACACGCAAATTAATAAGATCAGAAATGAAAAGGGGGACATAACCACCGACACAGAGGAAATTCAGACAGTCATTAGATCTTACTACAAAAGCCTATATGCCACAAAACTGGAAAATATAAAAGAAATGGACGCTTTTTTAGATAAATACCATTTACCAAAACTAAACCAGGACCAGGTGAACAATCTAAACAGACCTGTAAGTCGCGAAGAATTAGAAGCTGTTATCAAAAACCTCCCTACCAAAAAAAGCCCAGGACCAGATGGTTTCAATGCAGAATTCTACCAGAACTTCCAAGAAGACCTAATACCTATACTCCTTAATGTATTCCACAATATAGAATCAGAAGGGTCATTACCAAATTCCTTTTATGAAGCCACAATTACTCTGATACCAAAACCACTCAAAGACTCAACCAGGAAAGAGAACTACAGGCCAATCTCACTCATGAATATCGACGCAAAAATCCTCAACAAAATATTGGCAAATCGAATCCAAGAACACATCCGAAAAATTATCCATTATGATCAAGTAGGCTTCATTCCTCAGATGCAGGGCTGGTTCAACATACGAAAATCTATCAATGTAATCCAGCATATAAATAAACTGAAAGAAAAAAACCATATGATCATTTCATTAGATGCTGAAAAAGCATTTGACAAAATTCAACATCCATTTATGTTAAAAGTCTTGGAGAGATTAGGGATACAAGGGTCATACCTAAATATAATAAAAGCTATATACAGCAAGCCGACAGCTAACATCAAATTAAACGGAGAGAAACTCAAAGCCATCCCGCTTAACTCAGGAACACGGCAAGGCTGTCCACTCTCACCATACCTCTTCAATATAGTGCTTGAAGTTCTAGCAATAGCAATAAGACAACATAATGGGATCAAAGGGATTCGAATTGGAAAGGAAGAAGTTAAACTTTCGTTATTTGCAGATGATATGATAGTGTACATAAGCGACCCCCAAAACTCCACCAAAGAACTTATACAGCTGATAAACAGCTTTAGTAATGTGGCAGGATACAAGATCAACTCCAAAAAATCAGTTGCCCTCTTATACACAAAGGATAGGGAAGCAGAGAGGGAAATTAGAGAAGCTTCACCATTCACGATAGCCACAAACAGCATAAAATATCTGGGGGTAAATCTAACCAAGGAAGTGAAAGATCTATTTGACAAGAACTTTAAGGCATTGAAGAAAGAAATTGAAGAGGATACCAAAAAATGGATGGACCTCCCTTGCTCTTGGATTGGGAGGATCAACATAGTAAAAATGGCAATTCTACCAAAGGCAATTTATAGATTCAATGCAATCCCCATCAAGATCCCATCAAAATTCTTCACAGATCTGGAGAAGACAATAATCAACTTTATATGGAAAAACAAAAAACCCAGGATAGCCAAAACAATCCTATACAATAAAGGATCTTCTGGAGGCATTACCATCCCTGACTTCAAACTCTATTACAGAGCTACAGTAATGAAAACAGTGTGGTACTGGCATAAAAACAGAGAAGTCGACCAATGGAATCGTATAGAAGACCCGGATTTTATCCCACAAACCTATGAACACCTCATTTTCGATAAAGGAGCTAAAAGTATGCAATGGAAGAAAGAAAGCATCTTCAACAAATGGTGCTGGCACAACTGGATGTCAACATGTAGAAGAATGAAAATAGACCCATATCTCTCACCGTGCACAAAACTCAAGTCCAAATGGATTAAAGACCTCAATATCAGTCCGAACACACTGAACCTGATAGAAGAGAAAGTGGGAAATACCCTACAACAGATGGGCACAGGAGATCGCTTCCTATGTATAACCCCAGAAGCACAGACATTAAGGGCAACATTGAATAAATGGGACCTACTTAAACTGAGAAGCTTCTGTAAAGCAGAGGACACTGTCACTAAGACACAAAGGCAACCTACTGACTGGGAGAAGATCTTCACCAACCCCGCAACAGACAAAGGTCTGATCTCCAAAATATATAGAGAACTCAAGAAACTAGACTTTAAAATGCTAATTAACCCAATTAAAAAATGGGGCACTGAACTGAACAGAGAATTCTCAACAGAAGAAGTTCAAATGGCCAAAAGACACTTAAGGTCGTGCTCAACTTCCTTAGCAATCAGGGAAATGCAAATCAAAACAACTTTGAGATATCATCTTACACCTGTCAGAATGGCTAAAGTCAAAAACACCAAGGATAACCTTTGCTGGAGAGGCTGTGGAAGAACGGGTACCCTCATCCATTGCTGGTGGGAATGCAATCTTGTGCAACCACTGTGGAAGTCAGTGTTTCGGTTTCTCAGGAAATTCGGGATCGACTTACCCCTGGACCCAGCAATACCACTCTTGGGAATATACCCAAGAGATGCTCTATCAAATGACAAAAGCATTTGTTCAACTATGTTCATAGCAGTATTATTTGTAATAGCCAGAACCTGGAAACAACCTAGATGCCCTTCAATGGAAGAATGGATGAAGAAAGTATGGAATATATACACGCTAGAGTACTACGCTGCGGTAAAAAACAATGACTTCTCGAATTTTGCATGCAAATGGATGGAAATAGAAAACACTATCCTGAGTGAGGTGTCCCAGACCCAAAAAGATGAATATGGGATGTACTCACTCATAATTGGTTTCTAGCCATAAATAAGGACCACGGAGTCTACAATAGGTGAACCTAAAGAAGCTAAGGAAGAAGGTGAACCGAAGGAAAAACATATAGTTGTCCTCTTCGCTAAGGGAAGTAGACCAAATTTCCGGGGAGAAAATGGGATCTTGGGGGGGGGGGTGGGATGGGGGTAAGGGGAGATGGGGAGAGAAAAGGTAGAAGGGAAGGAGGGGGGACCTGGGAAACAGGAGAATTGGGATAAAGGAAAGGTGGATAGGGGAGCACGGAACCACAATTCTTAGTTAAGGGAGCCAGTTTAGGGTGGGCAAGAGACTTGACCCTAGAGGGGCTCCCTAGTGCCCAAGATGAGGTTCCCAGTTAGTTCCTTGGGCAGCTGAGGATTGGGAACCTGAAATGACCCTATCCTAGAGCAATACTGACGAATATCTTGCATATCATCATAGAATCTTCATCTGGTGATGGATAGAGATCGAGACAGTGACCCACACAGGAGCACTGGACTGAGCTCCCAAGGTCCCAAGGAGGAGCAGAAGGAGGGAGAACATGAGCAAAGAAGTCGGGACCACGAGGCGTGCATCCACCCACTGAGACAGAGGAGCTGATCTACGGGGAGCTCACCAAGGCCAGCTGGACTGTGACCGAAAAAGCATGGGATAAAACCGGACTCTCTGAACATGGCGAACAATGAGGGCTGATGAGACACCAAGGACAATGGCAGGGGGTTCTGATCCTACTTAATGTGCTGGCTTTGTGGGAGCCTGGCCAGTTTGGATGTTCACCTTCCTAGATATGGACGGAGAGGACCTAGGACTTAACACAGGGCAGGGAACCCGGACTGCTCTGTGGACTGGAGAGGGAGGGGGAGAGGAGTGGGGGGAGGGGGAGAAGGGTGGGAGGAGGGGGAGAAGGGTGGGAGGAGGGGAAGGGAAATGGGAGGCTGGGAGGAGGTGGAAACTTGTTTTTTGTTTATGTTTTTTTTTCTTCTTTTCGCAATAAAAAAAGAAAAAGAAAACAAAAAAAAAAAAAAAAAAAACTCATCTTTCTCAATACCTGTGATATTTTGAGTAAGTCTTTAGTTTTTCAAGACTTGTAGTTTTGTCTATAAAGTAATGATAAGAATATGAAAAAAAAAAAAAAAAAAAAAAAAAAAAAAAAAAAAAAAAAAAAAAAAAAAAAAAAAAAAAAAAAAAAAAAAAAAAAAAAAAAAAGATTTGTGAATTTGCTTCACTTTAATTTTTAACCTGGCAAATGCCAGCAAGTAGAGACCATATAAACAAAAGACTTGTGGAATTTCTCTTGTTACTGAGACTTAAAATGTTGTTAGGTGTGGTAGCGCACACCTACAATCCCAGCACTCAGGAGGCAGAGGCAGGAGGACTGGGTGAAGGTCATCCTTAGCTCCATAGCAACTTCGATGTGGGCCTAGACTGCAGGAGATACTGTCTAAAGAAACTGGTGGTTGAGGCCTTGAGATCACAAAGTTTAATAATGACTAATGAGCACTTGCTTCACTTGCCACACAAATGAGCTCTGCATCTTCAATGAAGAAGGAGAAAGCATGATATTTGTGCTGGCTGAGTACCTCCCATGTTTCTTTTGTGATTGTGATAAGTCAAATATCGATGTCATCCACCTGTGTGCTGAAGTGCCTGAACTTGAGACATCCATCACCAGCCAAGCAAAGCAGTCAGAAAATCAAGGGTGGAGCATGAAGGTGTGACACAGGACAGGCTGCTGGGCCTGGTACAAACCTGTGTCTTTGCATGCCTCTCCTTCGCAGCACTGGCTTACAAACTGATATTGTTGAGCATCAGGCAAACGCACCGTGAAGTCTGCTTGGGTTATTTCCTCGCAATTACTTGCCAAGCAGGACCTTTCCTGGTACAAAGGCTGAGACCCTCCTACATCAAGGTAAACACAGACTGTTAGTATCTGAAGACACTCCAGCAGAGCAGATTCCTGAGGAGACAGTACTTCATACAGGGGGCAGTTAACTTGAACCTCTGTTCAGCACAGCTTGGCAGAGACTAGAGAAGGTTTCTTAAAACAAGAAGAACCCAGCAGGGCATAGTGGTTCACACTTGAACCCCGCCACTTGGAACATAGAGGCAGACAGATATCTGTGAGTTCGAGACCAGCCTGGTCTACACTGTGAATTCCAGTACAGCCAGAGATACATAATAATAACTTGTCTCAAGGAGGTGGGAGGAAACAAAGAGAAAACCCTCCCCCATCAGAGAACTCGTTCCTTCATCAGATTAGCATTGATGAATTAAACTCTGCCATTAGCTAATCTGAATCTTGTGAGCCTCGTGTGGTCGCGTGCAACCAGGAGAGATGTAAAAAAGACCGAGCACAAAGTTGTAAACTTAATTAACATTATTAAAAGTTTTCACGATTTTTTTTGTTAACCACACTCTCTTAGTACTTGAACATGAACTTTGTGGGTGGCAATGTTGTATCATGATGTCAAAAGGTTGGGTACAAATGCTAGGCAGGAAGGACACCAGAAAATGGTGATTTAGTCTAACACATATACAGCCCTCCCAGGCCACTAATTTGTCTTAGCATCTCAAAATATAATAAAGCAGACACAGTGGGATTTGATATATGATACATCACATTATCACCTATACCTCCTTCCTAGAAACTGCATGAGAGCCCAGTCAGAGTTACCCAGTATAGAGACATCAGCTATATGTGGCTGTCACATCAAATATAGATTGTCCAAAATAAATTAAGGGACTGGATGTGTAGCTCTGTGGTAGAGTGCTTGTCTGACATATGCAAAGTCCCGAATTTAATGTCCAGCACCACAGAAAAACAACCAAAAGCCATTAAGTAAAGTTACATGGTCATGTTGGTGTATAATTGTAATCCCAGCATCCAAAAGGCAGAAATCAACTCTGAATTTCTGAATGACTCTCTGACTTATTTTTTGGTAAAGGCTCTTGAGCTGATCTGGACCTCTCCAGTTTTAGAGTGGCAAGCTCCAGGAATCACCTTGTCTTGGCTGCTCCCCACTGAGACTACAAGCATGCACTGCCATGCCTGACCTTTTTACATAGAGGCTGAGGGACAAGCTCAGGTTCTCCTATTTGTGTGGCAAGCACTTTATTGATTGATCCATCTCCTGAGCCCCCTTGTTGACCAAAGCCAAGGTTAAGATGTCAGTTTGTTGTCCTTCCCACTTTTGTGCATGGAAAGACTCTAAGTGGCTTAAGATGTTCCCATCAGTAGACTGCCTAGGGAGGGGCTCACCAAGGAAAATATATTCGATCTAGAAGAGAAAGGCACCAGGAGATTGAGAAAAGAGATGGCTGGAAAAAAATACATGTCCCAGGCAAGATGCCTGCATCTTATTTAGCTCTGAGTTGCTCTTGCTGTCTATATCTACCAAAAAAAAAATGTATCGACAGTGAAGTTTCGATCAGTGGAATTGATTTCCAATACACCACAGGGCTTATTCTATTGTTTGATTCTATGCCTCTACTAACATGCAGCTCCTGCTCACCTCAGCCACTGGGGAGTCGCCTTCGCAACCCACTAGTCTCACTACAAAGCACAGCACAGCCCAAACTCAGATGTCTTCCTTGTGCCCACCCTCTTTAGCACAACCCACAAGTCCCAGAGACAGAGGCAGCCCCACTCACCTAGAGTGGAGTTGACCAAGGTCTCCACACAATTCATCCACTCAGGCACTGAATCGCTGATGGGACAGTCTTTGGGTTCACTATTTCCAGGGCATCTCTCCGTGCCCTCAGCGGTTGAGGAACACTGTCTACAACTCAGGGAGTCTGAGGGGAGAAAGTATTCACAAAAGTCAACAACCAATAGACATTCCCAGAGCACCACACCCACCACAGGAAGAAAGATCCAGACGGGACACCCAACTGTCCTCTGAAGATCCCCAAACTGATGCTATGAGATAGAGCAATGACCGCTAGTTTCTTCCCATTATTCACCAGTCATCAACAGGAAGTACCAACCCTGACCACCAGCAGAGTGGTCTCTCTAAAGGCAGAGTAAACACATGGGTCTCACACAACATAACAGGCCTGGTAGTATGTACCAGGATGCCAAGAGCAAGATGCTCTGATGTGGTGAAAAAGAAGACTTTATCCAGAAGGGGGCTTCTCTCACCTATAACTGTGATGGCAAACGCCGCAAAGACACCAGCAATGAGGATGTCTTTCATGATGGCGGGGCTGGCTTCTCCCAAGGATAGGGCCACGGAGCCTCAAACCTGGAAAGATAAAAGAGGACAGTCCAGGATCTTGATGGAATGCCTACCATCAAAAGTGTTTGAAAGACACTGAAGCAAGCTTAGTACATGGTCTGTCCTTGTTTCTGGGGCAGAAAACTCAGTCCTGCATGGGTACACAGAACCATGGCTCTCCTTCATCCTGCCTGACACAAGGTTGAGCTTCAGCTGCAAATGGGCAGACAGAGCAATTTCCAGGTCTGCTGGGGCCGAGTTACAGGTCTGTCAGATTTCTGTCACTATGGCAAAATCCCTGAGATAATTGATTTACAAGGCTCATGGCTTCGGAGGTATCAGTCATTTTGCCCCATCATGCAGGCCCTTGTGGAAGCTCATGACAAAGGAGGTCTGGTCACCTAATGCAGCCAAGGAGTGACCAGGAAAGAGGAGTGTGTCACAGGGTCTCGCTCAATGAGCTAACTTCCTCCTCCCAGGCCACCCTTCTAAAGGTTCCAGCATCTCACTATAGAACCACAGCTAATGACCAGGCATTTGTGGTATATTTAAGATCCAAATCCTAACAGGGTCCCAGATAAAAACAGTGGCCCTGGGTTTTGTGTCCTCTTCACCTCCCTCCCATTCTGTAGTCCCCTTATCTCCCCTGCCACAGGATCTGTGTCCTCCTACCCCTCCAGAGTACACTGTCTCTTCTCCCAGCAGGGGTCTCCTGCATTCGCTTTGGTGCTCAGGGGCTTTGCTGCCACCACCTATGCAGATACTTGTGAGCCCTTGCTCTGCTCTAAGCCCTGTGCATGCACTAATCTGAGTAATTTCTTAGCACCTGGACAAGACTAAGCCCTAGAAGAGAGAAGTGATGCTCTCGGAACCAAGCTCTAACTCCTGGGAGTGTCAGAGCTGGGATACAATACAGACCCAAGATCCCTAGAAGACAGAAGTGATGCTCTTATAACCAAGCTCTTACTCTTGGGGGTTTCAGAGCTGGGACACAATACAGACCCTTCATTCCCACTCCATTCTGCATCCAACTCATGTTGCACACCTCAGAAGCCAGGGCCTGAATGCATCGAAGCTCCTGAGTTAGATTAATGCAGCACCAATTTCCTTACCTGCAAATCATCTGAATTAGATCTTTGGGGCTTGCTAGGTTTTTGTCACATTTGTTAGGATCCTAAATCACAGCTCAAGGAATTTCTCTTTGTGTGAGTAGCAGTGCAGCATAGGAAGCAAACATTTACACGGAACTCTCCTTGATCATAATCTTTTTTTTTTTTTTTTTGGTTTTTCGAGACAGGGTTTCTCTGTGGTTTTGGAGCCTGTCCTGGAACTAGCACTTGTAGACCAGGCTGGTCTCGAACTCACAGAGATCCACCTGCCTCTGCCTCCCGAGTGCTGGGATTAAAGGTGTGTGTCACCAGCGCCCGGCCCTTGATCATAATCTTATTACCCTATAAATGTCAGCCATAGCCAATGTGGCTCCTTAGGTTAACTCACTCGAGGTAGGTAACGACGCACCTGTCCCTCGGCACAGGAACCGCTCACTGTTCAGATGGTCAATGGTCACGTGTGCCGAGCGGCTGCCACTAACCATGGCAGACAGAACACTTGTCTCCCGTGGAGCCCCAGTGAATAGTACTGCCTGAAGACAGGCTGGTGTCTCCACCCCACAGACATGCAACCTCTGGAAGAAGCGGAAGCAGCCAGGCTCATGGGTGGGCCCGCTCTGAAGCTTGACAGCCCCATGACAGCTGTCACGGACTGAAGCAAAGCTGACCTTGTCTCAGGATACCCCTCTTCCTGCTCCGTCCCGTACGGCAGATCAAACATACATCCCACCACACAGCACGCACAGCAGGGCCTTCTGGTTGACCGACGAGGGACTAGTAAAAAAATAATGGAAGCTTGCCCAGCCAAGGGACAAAACCCATATGCATTCCCAGTGACCACACAGTTTAGAAACCCAGAGGGCAAATCAAGTATGTCTTATGTAGAGTATGTGACACACAGCTCTGCACTCAGCTACATGTTCCTCCGTATACCAAGACAGCCCTCCAGGCCTGGAACCCCAGCCTCTGGGGAAAGACCTCTAGAGCATTGTCACAATGTAGGAGGAGGGAGAAGGGAGACAAAAGTTGGAGGAGAAGCAATCACAGAAGGGCATTGACTGCACAGATCACCCAGCTCCCGCCAGCCTGATGGTGAGTCTTATTTCAAACCCAGAGAAGTCAGGACCTGACTAGCAGACAGCAGAGAGGCAGAGACAATCCTGGGTGGGACATGAGGCCTGTTAATCACTTCTTTTTGCCAGAAGAACAAGGTCTTATGTAGCCCAGGCTAGCCTCAAACTGGCTACATAATCAAGAATGATCTTTATCTTCTAATCCTCCTGCCTCTGCCTCCTGAGTACTGGGATGACAGACATGTGCCACCATACCCACGTAATGAAGCGCTAGGGATCGAACCCAGAACTTCCTGCTTCTTAGACAAGCACTCTACCAACTGAGCTGCATCTCCAGTCCCTTCCCTGCTTTGCAACAATCTATTAGTAAATCTTGCAGCGCGCTAACAGCATGCTGCCGCATTGCTCACATCTGTCAGGGAAGCTGGAGCTCAGAGACACCGTGCCACACGGACAACAGAATGCCAAGCAAGCACACCCGCAGCCCCAACCTCTACTCCGGCCTGCCCACCCCGAGAACAGGGCAGCAGTGGGCAGCACTGGCAGAAAAGAACCTCGAGAACACCCTGAACACTACCCAGAGCAAGCCTGAATGCACTCAACGCCACACCCGCCCCAGGATTCAGCTTCTCCAGCTTCTCCCAGCATCAGGCTCCAGCCTCGGAGTCCGCTCACCTTCTGGGTCCAGTCAGGGACACTGTCCCAAGAAAGGTGGATCCTGTCAGTGTGTTGGAGCAGATGTGGGGAGAGCCCTTATATAACAGGTGGCTGAATGCCCTACAAGCCCAGTTGCCTTCTAGGGAGGGGCCTCTTTGTTATCCAGGCCCCAGCATAGGGTTCTTAGATGGTGCCCTGCCCAACCATAGCGATCAGGATACTTAACCCTTGGCCCCTTTGTAGGTGGTGCTCCCTCTGAGGCCTGCAGGAATTGGAAGCACCTGCCTTTCCCACAGTGTATGAGGGGACAGTGTGTTCCTGGTACCTTCCAGTGTCCCCCATAGTGCACTCACTTCCATGGCCTGGGAACAGCATTCCAGAATAGCAGCTTGGTAAAACAGTCCACTCCCGGTTCTGGCAAAATCCCCATTTAGAGATGAGGACCCCAACTACAAAAGAAAAATGTAAGAGGCTTGACCATGGCAGATCACTGGGCAGAGCCAGACAGATCACAGGAGGGCCACACCACTCAGAAAAGAGGCTCAAGTCTCTCTGGCAAATGACTTCACCTGGTTAAGTTTAGGAGTCTTCCAGCCAAGACAAAGCTAAACCCACTGTGCAGCTGCATGGGATGATGGGTGGGCCATGAAGGAAACCTGCCCACAGTAGGCTACACACGGGTCAGGACAACAACAGGGATCACTGCCTTCTCTGACAGCCAGGGCAGGTTCCTGGGATCCATCTGGGCAGCCAGCACTGACTAGAGCCCAGGTCAGGTACACTGAGATAGCCTCCCACCCCTCATGTGATACTGTGGCTCTCCCCATCTTTCTGTTGTCCTACCAACACAATGTACACACACACACACACACACACACACACACACTTCCCTAGACACTCCTGAAGCACCCTCCATATGTCAAGCTGGCTCTACACATTTGGGAGTGCCTGTGGCCTTTACTCTCCTGAAGGGTTCTCTAGAAAGGAAGACTGAACAAATAAATATGATAAACATGCAAAATAGGCAAAAAAAAAAATCAGGGTCGATTCATCAACCAAATGGGGGCACAAGACTGAATTTTAAGTAGAAACATCAGAATCATCTAGAAGAGATGACACAGCCTGAGTGGGGTTTCTAAGCAGAGACTCTGGCCAGTTCTTGTTCTCTCTGGCCCATCCTCCCTCAGGCTATTTGATGACGGGGGGGGGGGGGGGTCCCTGAAGGAGAGCAGTCCCCTGCCTCACAGAATACTGTTGTTTTTCTCTACACACCCACTAGTGCAACAAAATCAACTAGCATGGGGCAGGATGGGTGGTGGATACAGGAGAATGAGCAGGGATGAGGAGTCCCAAGCGTTAGCTGCCCCAGCTGCACATGGAGGACTTGAAGGACCCGTGAATTTGTTGGACAGCCCTGGGAAGCCCCATCCAGTGTTAGAATGAAGATGGGCACGGGAAAATTCCACTAACCAAAGCGAAGTCTCCTCAAGAGGCTCAGATACCCAGGCTAGAGAGACAAAAGCAACCAAAAAAGATGTGGGCTGAATCCAGACTTTGCCCCTTATGTCACCTAAGTTACTTATTAACCTTGCTCCCCATCCAAGCTCCCTGTGTGAAATCCCAAGAATTGCCCTAATAAAACAGCTGCCGGCCATTTGCTCCCAAAAGCTTTTTGTCACTCCGCCATGTTTTCCAAGACCATCTATCGGGAATGTGGGAGGGGTGTTGAGCCTTTGGGGTTACACAGATGATCGTCATCAAGCTCCCTCATCGGGGCCAATACTGACAGCAACAATAAGCCCTGGGTTCGAATGGGCAGCTCTGTATGACCACCCCTCACAGCCCTGGGTTTAGTGCCCTTGATGTCCTGAATAGTACAAATGGGTATCACATTTCCTTTGGCAGGCAAGGAAACTGAGGCCCAAAAATGTCTCTCCTCTTGACCTTCAGTCATAAGAAATTTTCCGTGCATCCCAACATAGCTCAGGTAGTACCGAGCCTCTCTACCCAAAGGGTCGGAAACACTGACTCCACTTACTAAGATCCTAGGGGTAATATCTCTGTCATCAGTCACCAGATGGTAGGAGAAGCCACTTTCCTAAAGTAGGCCCTCAGGTTAACTAAGAAGCCCAAGGGCCCAGGGGAAGCCAATCCCAGCGATCTGCTCAGGAGAAGCCGGTCCCAGAGATGAGTCCAGGAGAAGTCAGTCCCAGCAATCTTGTTTTTCTTTGGTCTGGTTTGGTTTTTAAAGACAGGATTTCTCTCTGTAACAGTCCTAGCTATCCCTGGAACTCACTCTGTAGACCAGGCTGGCCTGGAACTCACAGAGATTCGCCTGCCTCTGCCTCCCAAGTGCTGGGATTTGAGCTGAGAATCCCTGAGAGTGACTCAGACACGCTGGTTCCATCATTTCTGAGAAAGAGGAGGAAGTCAGCCATTTTTATACCAGGTTCGACTGAGGGAAGCCTATCTGAGTCCCAGAAAGTCATACCAGTATGTAAATCTGAAGCAACTATGGGAAGTGGGTTCCTCCCAGGGTTTTTCTCAGCCTCCAGCATGGATGTGAGTTCCCCAAAGAGTCCCATTGTAGTAAGTGTGCAGAGTAATCAAGGAAGACAGGCTGGAGCAAGACAAGAGTTCAGCAGAGGAGTCCGTCAAGAATGATCACCCGTGCCCCACCTGTTCTCTCTTTCTTCTGGGAACACTCTCTGGTTACCTTATTCCTATAGTTGCAATATTAGAACAGGCTAAAAATTCATCAAAATCATTGCCCTCAATCTTCCCACCCCAATCACTTCACAGAAGACCCCGTCGTGTCCTGTAACAGAAGCTTCCCCCATGGTCCTTGCTCCTCTTTGAGATAAATGGTCCTCTGTTCATGTCTTCCAAATGAGAAAAACATCATCACTCACTTCCTAAGCTATTCTAAGAATTAAAGGAGAGAATAGAAACATGGAGAAATGCTCAGGGGTTAAGAGCACTGGCTGCTCTTGCAGAGGACCCCAGTTCGGTTCCCAGCACCCACATGGTGGCTCACAACCATCTGTAACTCCAGTTCTGGCAAATCCGCGACTGTTCTTGAACCTCTAAGCACGTTGCATGCATGTGATACATTAACACTTGCCCACATAAAAAATATTTTTAAGCCAGGTGGCATGGCTCACACCTTTAATTCCAGCATTCAGGAGGCAGAGGTAGTCAGATCTGTGAGTTTGAGGCCAAAGCCAGTCTGGTCTACAGAGTGAGTTCTAGAACAGCCAAGGCTGTTTTTGAGAAACCCTGTCTCAAAAAACTAAAAATAAATAAATAAGTAAGCAAATATTTATTTTAAAAGAAAGAGCTCATGGGGGAGAGATTTGGCATACATATATACATATGGGCCATGGGGCCACAGGAGCAATGGCCAACTCTGTAGCCACAAGCTCACACCAAAGACCCTCAGCCTAGAGGGACACACAAGGCCACACGGCACAGTGATCTGGGTGAAGCCCAGCCACAGAGTGCACTTTGTCATCTAGCAGTCAAGCGAGCTTAGAAATTTACACACCATTTGAATCTCTGGTTCTTCACCCGGGAGAAAAACGGAAGCTGCAATACCGAGTGGCTGTAAAGATCAAGAGATTTGGGAGATATCTTTATCGTTTCTGTAAGCTGTGCCAAAGTGCTCACCTAGGTTTTGTACTTTGCACCAACCCTTCAAATAGAACAAAGTAGTATCAAAAGCAAAACAAACGAACAAAAGATTAAGAGGGAAATTTACGATGGTCTTTGCACAATGCACAGAAGACTGGAAGTCTGGCTCAGGAAATTTTCACAGTGCTGTCCGTGACGTGGGCAAACCCACCCACGAGGCCCTTTCTGGTGAGAGTGTGTCTAGGAGCAAATCAGCTAACCATCGCAGGACACTTTCAGTATAATCAGTTCTACAAAAGCTGTGAAAAAGGCTGGACTGATGGCTCCGCTATTATAAGGGCTCGCTGTTCTTTCAGAAGACCCAGATCTGACCCAGACCCATGTCAGGTTAGCTCAGAGCTACCTCCAGCCCCAAGGGATTTGACAGCCTCTTCTGACCTCTTTGAGCACCTGCACACAGACGCCACATACCCACTCAGACACACACATGCACATAAATAAAATGCATTTTCAAGGTGGTACCTCCCTCACTCCTTGCCCTTTCTCTAACCATTGGCCTTCATTTCTTTTCCCACATGCCCTCACCACCAGATTTTAAACTTATTCACTTACTCAACAAGGTACTAAGAGAAGAAAGCTGAAGAAGACAAATCAATTCCCTGCCTTCCCTAGCTTTATAGAAATCTAATGAAAACAGCAGACAGACATGTACAGGTCAACGCAAGTTACACTGTTGTCATAGAATCAAAATGGAGTGAACACAGGAAGTAACAGGGCTGACTCCACAGACACAGAATTCCAGCAAAGATGACCCTTCTGAGAACTGAGAAGAAACGAGATCAGGAATTAGAAAGGAAAGATGGCCCCAAAAGTCTCATCAGCTTTGGAACAGAGTAGTTTGCTTGGGGAACTGAACCAAGTTTACTACAGAATTACCAGTTCACAAAAGAAACTAATTTATGGAGAATCTACAGAACTGTGCTCACACCCTTCTCCTGAGCTCATTTTCATATCCTATGTTCGTTTTCCTCATAAGCAGCTTATGGGCAAAGAGTACCTGAACTGCTTGTAACATGATAAAGCAATTTATGGTCTGTGAGTCAATGTTCCTTCCAAGGTTACGATTTCCTTCTTCATAAAATAGTGTGTGACAGAATTAGCATCTTTACACACCAATAATAAACATACACAGGAGAAAAATTTTAAAGTTACATTCATACTCTCACCAAAAAAAAACCAATAAGATACTTAGGATAAGTTTAGGAAGTGTTTAAAGAAAGAACTCTGTGGTGGTTGATACTGGCTATCAACTTTACAGGTTCTAGAACCACCTAATAGGCTGACCTCTGGGCATGTCAGTGAGAGTGTTTATAGATTGGGTTAATTAAGTTGGGAAAGTCAACCCTTAATTGGGTGGCACCATTGCAGGGGCTGGAGTCTTACAA